TGGTTGCTTGGTTGCTTGGTTGCTTGGTTGCTTGGTTGCTTGGTTGCTTGGTTGCTTGGTTGCTTGGTTGCTTGCTTGACTAGCAACTAGAGTCCTCTTGCAGGGTGCGAGAGTCCACCTTGAATCAGGGAGTGGTCCAAAGAAGGGCCCTCTTGTGGTCCAAAGCAGGTCCTCCAGTGGGCTTTGGGTCTTTTGGAGTCCATCAGAGTGCGGCTTGAGGTCACCTGGCACCGCAGCCACTGCTGCAACCGCTGCGCCAAGGGCATAGGCCACGGCAAGTGGTGCGACCGGAGGAAAGAGGAGATTCGCCCGGGGGAATTCGGGGGACGCGTTCAGGCTCCCAGCCAACCACCTTATTTCGGGCTGGTGAAATATTGTAAGTCACCCAGATGGGTATGGGTCAAAATTAAACCACCAGGATATGGACCACAGGTTTAGTTATTGTTTCCATTTACCTGGGTGCCATTTTGGGTACCTATTTTTTACCCACAGCCAATTGAGGACATCCCCGATTTATCTCATGGATCCTCCTCTCACCCCTTTTTTAGGGCACCATGAAAGGTTTGCTTAGCACTTGCCGGGTTTGACAAGTGCTGAATCTGCAAGGTCTGTGACCAACTTGCCACAAGAAGGGAAGGCTGCAAAGCTTAGCATCTTATGTTCAAGATATATCCAACCGCTGGTTGCTTTCACAACATATGGTAGACTTGCTGCGCCATACTGACGCATGCTGACATGTTTCGGGAGTCATTGTGGTGGTTTCAGAGCATCGGGCGGGCAGGATGACGTGATCCCGCCGCCCGAGCTTCCGGAGGAGTTGGAAAAGATGCACCAAGAGGCCCGCGGCAGAAAGAGCTCGGCCTAGCCCTCACTAGACTCACTAGGCTGAAGGAAGAAAATTAAGCAGAATCTTCCATTTGCTCGGGTTTCGGCTCAGTCGGACATAACTGCCTATGCCACTACACCTTGGCGAAACGGACAAGCAGTAAGTCCAATCCAGTGCGATTCTGAGCTGTTGCCATTCACTGGAAGGCGCATTCGCATCTAAGTGGATGTAAATGGATGGACGTAAGGGTTCCCAATGCAGGTTGGCTCCACATTTGAGCGCTCATTTGTACTTCGGGAGTACCAGGCAAATCCATGGTATCCCAAGCACTCCATGGTCCCAAGCACTCCATGGATCCCACGATTGACCCTCCAGGCCAGGGTCAGTGGTGGGTTTTTCGTGAGGGACTGTGGTGGGCTCGGCCTCAGCTCCCCCCGACGCTCATTTCTCGGCCAGGAGGCGGTGTCGGCCGGACGGCCTCGCTGGCGCCAGGGGGTTCTGAGGCCGTGAGTCGACCGAGAGCGGCGGTTTCGTATTCCCCCCACAATCCGTCTGGACCCATCGAATTCCCTGAAACCATGGGGCTATTTCGCCACTGTCTTTTTTCGGGCTTCCCCTTGTTTGGTCAGTACGGGGAAACCAACCGGAAATCCTCTCCTTTGGGGGGGTCCAACCTCCATGAGGCCGAAAGGGCCGAGCGCTTCGACGCGGAAGAGCTGGGGACTGCGGAAATGGCTCCCGTGGCTGTGGTGGAGATCTGGAAGGCGCTGCCGGGACGGAAGGCTTCGACTCGGTTGCCCAGTGGTTCCGATCCTTGTTGTTCCTTTTCGGAAAAGGGTTCCCCGAGTCCTTCAACCCTGGTGGAATTCGCCCTTTCTTCCTTTTTTGGGTCAAGGGTTCCAATTCCTAACTCAACCAACAGAAAAAGTCGTGCCTTGTTGTCCTTTTCTTCGGCAAGGGTTCTGATTCCTTCAACCTCTGCCAACAAGAAAAGGGTGCCGTTTTTTTTGTTCCCATGGCCAGTGGGCATCTGAGGAGACACGCAGCCAATGAAAAGCTTAGGTCTGCCGTTGTTTTTTTGAATAGGGAGCTCACCGATCCACTGTTTTCAAATTCAGCTTCTGGACTTCTTGTAACATTTGCAGATAGGTGGGTCATTTTTGTTGGTTTGAAAGGAAGCTAAACGGAAGCCCAAGCGTTCCAGGAATGGGTGCGAAGCGCACGAAGGTCTCTTGATTCTTTACCCTGGGTTTTGGGTACACCTTTTTCAATATAGGCTTGTATCGGGACATAGCTGTGCTTGGATGCTCAGCCCGCGGTTTGCCCAGTTAGCACCATGAGTATGACCTGCTCGAACATGCAAGCACGGGTACGGAGAATTGGGGGGCACCCAGCACCTGTAAAAAGGACGAGGAAAACTGGAGCTCACTTTTGGATGGCTTGTTGTTAGGGGAAGACGGAAACTCGAACTGAGGAGCCTACCAAATGACCCACAGTCGACCTGCCTAGAGACCCGTAGAGCAGCTTGTGAAGCACACGGATGCCCCCTTCACAGTGTGTTACCTTTCTGACACGGTTTTCAAGGGGTCCCCAACCAAACCAAATTTGAAGAATGCCTCGTAATGTAGTGAAACTACGAGGTCATGATTAAAAAGATGGCGCAGACCAGTTACTAACGGGCCGAGAGGCGTAACTGTTGATAGATGCCCATCAGTTGAACACATCAGTTTGAGCTTGTCACTCTTACGCCTCCGTTGCTCCACTGGCCAACGTTTTGTAATATTTCAGGCTGCCACGCTTATATGTGTCGCTCTCCCCGTTGGTTTGACCCCAGTCTTTCCAATTCCAGGGAAGCTTGCCCATCCTTTTTCTCGTGCTTCTTTTCCAGAAAACCACCAAGGACCCGCAGAAAATTGCAGGTCTTTGACAGCAACGCTGCTTGCAAAAGACGGGAGCCAACGCCTACCTGGACCCTCAACATTCCCTTAGAAATGGTTATTGCCCCAAGTCATGGGGTGAATTCCCGTTTTTTGGGTTATGGAGTGAATTCCCGTCTTTTGGGGTAGTTTGAGGCTTCAGGTGGTTGAGTCGCACCTACGAACCAACGCCCAGGGCCGTCTCTGCCAGGCGCTCGGAGCGTCTCAGCCACCGCGGCCGCGGCCGCCGCCTCACCGTGGCGACCGGGGAGTCGTCGGTGGAACGGCCGTGCCTGCTGGTGGTGGAGGCGGGGAGAAGGAATCAGAGGTGCATTTCGCTTGGATGTTAGAACTTTAACTTTTTGCCAACTATAATGATTTTCTCCCATTCCGGGTGGCGATGGGAAGAGTAGGGCGTCCATTTTTGGTTGGAGTTTCAAGGGGAAGCCTTCCCAAAAAAAGCAAAAAAGGCGGAATCCACCCGGGCAACTGGGAATTGGTTTGACCTGTCCAACAGGATTAACATGAGTTAAGCGCTTCCCGTGCAAGCCTTTGCCACGTCAGGGCGCACCCAGTTTTTTGTGACATTCTTTCTTTCGCGCCCTGCACCTGACAAAACTGCCTGAGCTTCCCTTCAGGCAGACCTCCAGTGGTGGTGCCCCCTTTCGTGCAAAACAGCGATTCTCAAAACCGGATTTGAGGTGTTCCAGTTGATCGCCTTGCCAACGAAAAGGGGGCAGAAGAGGCACCGTGCGCAACCTCACAAGTTTCCGGAGCACTGGATTGCTTTCTGCTCCCCTGCCAAAAGTTTCACTTGAAGCATCTGGTGGCAACTTGTCCCTTTCAGCGGTAAGCTCAACTTTGCTCCGCTCGGTCGCCAGGGGTTTGGCCCGCAGCCGGGCGAACTGTGTTCAAGCAACCCGCCCCTGGTCCCTTTAAAGAAGGGCACAAGGAGGTTGTGAAGAAAAAGACAATTGACCCCCGGGTTGTTGCTTTTTGGAGCATACAAAACATGTGTCTCCCGAGTTTTCTTTGAGAAAGCCCCTTTCTGGTTTGCTTTTGAAGGGACACCGACCAGGAAACCACTGATTTGGTCCGTTCATCCGAAAGCTCAGGTGCCGGGGTGGCTGATGCGTTTGCTGCTCTTCCAGCCAGAGATCTCCTGGACAGTCGCCGCCTGCAGCCGCGCCTGTGTCCTGGCCGAAAGTTTCGCTTGCAGAGATGAGGTCCCAAAGGGACCCAGAGCTCAGTTGATCACAACGGATTGACCTTTTCTTGGGAAATATTTTCCCATTTTTGCGTATTGTGGTTTAGTGGGAAATCCCCAGTTAAGTGCGAATACTTAAATTGTTGCTCCCCTTCTAATGTCAACCAAGTTTCGGTTTTTCCATGTTGGCAACCAATTTGGAGTAGTGATCCCGAAAGGTCAACCTTGCATGTCCTGGTCCTTTGGGCAACTGAGAGAGGAACCCTACCTTGGGATGCTTTACTACTTGGGTGACTTGGAGAAAACCAAGAGGACAGCATTCCCCCCGCAAGAAAGGAAAGAAGAAAAAACCATGTTTCTCTTCAACTCCTCTCAATATAAATCAACCCCAATTAAGGGGGTAACCCTCAACACAGCCGCTTCTGTATTTTGCCCCACCCGAAACCCTCAACACCCTGGGTGACAGTAAATGGCACCTCCCCATGTCGGTTTTATCAGTCTCTTTCTGGACAAAGCGTGGATCTCCTCCAAAACTATTCTCATCATTCTAGGGTAGACAAGTATTGACCAGTGTGATTTGTTTGGAGGGTACCCCGTTTTGGTGGCTTCAATGGACACCCTTAAAGCCAAACCGAACCCCATTTTTGGGGGGAACCCCAAGACCAAGACAACCATTGCAAAACAAAAACATATGTTGGGCGACCTCCGAAAATACAACCACAAAAACACACCAAACAAAACACCCAAAAAACACGCCCCCCGCCCACCTCCGCCCTTGTTTCGGTGTGGGTCAGGCAGCCGCCAGCTGCTGGCGGACGCCGCTCAGCTCTGCGCGGAGCTGCGCCCTGCCTCGCAGAGCCTGGCACGACGCAGCAGCGCCTTGATCGGTAGCTAAGGGCTGGTGCCGGGCTGGGGACAACATGGTTTTTGTTGGTGTTATCAATATGGTTGTCTTCATGATTATAGCCATAAGTAAATATATGACTATTATTATGAATAATATTATTTTTTGTTATTATTGTTATTATTGTTATGATTGTTATGCTTATTA